GATCTTCCAATCTTCTTGGGTTTGGGCTGGTATCTACGATCTTAGAATTAGTACTCGTGTTAGCCATTGTATGGGTGAAAATTATAGCGACGCGGGAGCAATGACAGCATGGGGCGTGCCTTTTAAATCTAGGACAATTGGATGACCGCAATTGGGGCATCCCTTTTTTATCTGATCTCTGTATGCATACATCTTATGGTCGTAGCTAACCTATACAAACTGCTTATATGTTCCTATTCTCTGCGACAGATATCATTGGTGTTGTCATGATGCTCTTGCATTTTTCGTCGCTGCGTTGTCAGGGAGCCATCATGGGTTGTCAGGTATGTGAAACTCCCTTTCATAGTATATGATATTATTTTGTGCAGAACTTACATATATTTCTAATTAATACAATGTCAGATTGAAACACAACTGTGAACTGTAGGTATCTGCCTATCTGAAAGTAATTGAGCTACTTGTTCGGTACATTATTTCCGCTTGAAGACATGTAACATCATGGGGTTTAAGTATGGTGTTGCTCTTGTGGATCTATGCTTTTTTATGGGTTTTGCGATGTGGTATTGTTAAGCCATTGAGCTTTCATAATTTGTTGGTTGAAGCATGAAACAATGCTCCATCTGACATACTAACCTTTAGGTTTGAATTACTAATTAGGCATTTCCTAATTTCTTCCCTCGATCCCTTCTACTATATTCTTAGGTTTCTAGCTGTTAGAAAATAGGCATGGGGGAAACTAACAAACTAGGTGCACTCTCACAATTATCTGCTTTGTCCATTTCCTAATTTCTTCCCTCGATCTGAGCATCTCTTCTATACTTCTCCATTGCTCCTTCCTAGCTGTATTGGCTTTGCACATCTATTCTAGTGGTTGACATATATGGCACTATGGTAAGGGGACTGTTGCTCTCTCTATGGCCTACTCTATTACAGGGATATGTCTGTTTGCGACATGTGTTGCTTGTTCATGTGTGCTTGTCATTTGCCTACCAAATGCTGTTGTAGTTATGATACATGTTGCAGTGGTACCTTCTTTTCTATACTGCTTCTTGATGTCGTGCAGTGTGTGATGTCATGGCTGGTCCTTTTTTTAGGCATGCCAAAATTACAGGAGGGTAACAAACATTTCAGCGGCACAGTTCAGATTCAGTAAATAAGTCCCTTCTTTTATTGTAAATGGAGGAGAAGAGAGCTCCCCACCATAAAATGAACCAAGCTAAAGTGAACCAAACTATAACTGCAGGCGTGAAAATACAGTTTTTAAAATTTGATACACTCATTTTCCTGGCACTAGTAATTTCAAAATACTTTCATTCCGAGATCTGACTGCAAACTCAAGTTGGTTGTAGATTAGACATTTATGCTTTCTTGCTACACATTTTTTCTTTTCGATTGCTGCTGCTCCCTGCCCCACACACTTAGATAAGGGCGTCCCCAACAAGGGTGCAAAACGCTAGCAAATAATATATTTTAGTCCAGGTGGAGGAAAGAGAATGCAAAATTCACAGTCGCCAACGAGATGCCAAGCGCTATGCTCGCACGGAGCCCAAGTAACTCACAATCTATGAACTTGTGGCCCTCCCTTTCTTTTACTATGTGCAGCAAGCATTTTCTACTTTGTTTACTCTCTCTCTCTCTTCCACGTTGCTGGCGATTTGCATCACTCTGTTGGGGACACCCTAAGTTGAAACTTGAAAGTCATTGAGCTTACATGTGTATCTGAATTTCCGTGGTTGCTCCCTAGCTGTGGTCACTAATAATTCAATTAGTTATGTGAAAGCTCTTTTGCTTGGCATAGATTTCTGACCCAGTGTAACAATTAGCTGGTAGACAATATATGTAATTGCCTCTTTTGAATAGGTCATGTTTGACATCTCATGTTTATAATTTTTGGTGAAATTTGGGTGCACACGTAAAAAAAGAAAAAACTCCATGTTTTTGTCTAGATAGCCATGTGAGCATCATTTGGAGCTTTATATTTATTAGTCTAAAACTTGTTGACCTTACATGTGTACCTGATTTTCTTGGTCCCTCTAAACATAATAACTCTTTACCTCTCCTGTTTGCAGTGCGATCGAAGAGAACTAATCATCGAAGGAAGGTCACAGTGCTTTTGCCTCTACCGGTTGCAGTGGAGTGATGATTTACATATATCTGAATCCTCATTTACAACTGAAGTTCAGTACTCTTTTAGTTTGCCTATAGCATTATATTTCTACTCTAATTGCTGCGGTATATTTGGATCGGCATTCTAAGCTACCAGCTATAGTGTTCGGTATGGTCATGAATTTTGATCTTGAACTGTAATTGATGTGCATGTAATGTATGACTGGATAGAACCATAATGGCTATTCTATGGCTGAATCGAACCATAATGGCTACGATGGCTATACAACCTGTGTTATTTGCGAATGCTTCATGACGTGTGCTAAGTATCATATGATATCTCTTTGCTCTTGTGCCACGGCCCACAGTAATAATGAATATGTGCTTACTATCTTAACTGTGTCCATTGATAATATATTGTTTTTTTCAAATCATTGTGGGCGCCTGATGTTCTAGTTGCCTGCAAACTTTCTGATGTTGACTGACTATGGCTGTGTCTTTTGGTTTTCTGGCGAGGACAGATGGGATCATCTCATCCATACTTTTACTTTTAGGGTTATGATCATCTAAATGGGATCTCTTTTGGTTTCTTTGAAGTAGTTTGTTTGATTAAGTAGATTGGATGACACTTTTTTTTGTTTTGGTTGGACGAGACTTTAAATGGGATGTGTCGATTTTCTGCTTATGTGGATGGACTTGGACGATCTTATTTTTAGATTTAACTGCAATACAATGAGAAAAACGATCATATCACAAATTAAATAAATAGTCTAGGAGATAAAACTACTTGAAGATTGTTAAGAAAAATCAATTAATGCTATTGGCCTAATTCATCAATCTCGAGGATTTGTCGTGCGCTAGCTATGCTTCCGTCCGCTCCGCCTCCGCAGCGAGCGAGCACGGCCAGGCAGTGAAACCTGCAGTCTTGCGAGCTTTTGCCTGGGGCTTGGTAAACCCACGTTCACCGGCAGCTGGTAGTCTTGCCAGTTGCCACTTGACTGGTCAAAGTGTCGTGGTGGTTCTGGTCCATTTCAAACATTTCACGGTAGTTTGCCGAGACATTATATGCATGCTTTAATTGTTGTGTGAACATGTTTGCATGGAATCCATCAGAAGCTTTGCTTTAAAGATCGAACTGGTGGTTTTCTAGTCGCCCCTTGTACCAGTAGATTATGTTAGATAAAAACACTTTCAATTTCTCATTCAAGGCTGCAAAAAGGAGACACTGGTAATCGGTGAAACTAGTCCATCAAGTTCTTCACGGACTAATCTTAAATAAAAAAGTTTAAATTACTCCTCTCAAGTTTAGTCAACATGAAAATAAAACTCCAATCTATTTTTTTGTTTTGTTTACTTCATTCCGTTCAATTTTACCTCCTAACAAGATTTATTTATTTCTTGTTTTTCATGAAAGATTTGAGTTTTAATTTAAAATTTGTGAGGTGGTACCAGACACCATGATTTATGTTAAAAATACATCATAGTTTTTAATAATTATTTTGATAGGTTGGTATATTTAAGAATAAATTAAAACTTGGGATGTAAAGTTGTATAAGACTTAATTATGAAAAAAATCATAATTTGATTCGTGGGGTAAATTGGAAATAAAAAGCAACCTGTAAACGAAGAAATAAAAAATACAATTGTTGTTACGGTAGACCACATTAAAATAGTTGGGGAAGTAAATCAAACTAAATGCTCTCTTAGTACCTACCACTAATCAAAACTGCTAATCTATACTCTCTCATTGTTCATTAGCTAATGAATACCACCCATATACATTCTCTATCCTCTACACATTATCATAAACTTTGTCAACTGATTATGTATGGAATCCATCCATACTCATAGATTTCTCTTTCTATGGTTAACCATGAGCCTTTATATATACACTAGGTAGCGTGTCCGTGCGTTGCTACGGGACAACTAAACTTTTATACTAAAAACACATAGATCGCACGATTAGATAACAATACTGTAAAATTAAATACCGACGTCCATATGTAACACCAATCGTCACTATTATATTATTTTTTATAAAGCACGAATAACTATAATATAATTTTAGTCTTAACAAGAAATCAAAACAATTGTTCAACTATATTCCTTACGACTATCTGGTCCGTACACTTAAGGCAGTGTTTTAATCCTGTAGATTGAAATTATCCTAAAATTGCCGTCATAAGCCAATAGCTAGATAACCAAATCATTTTGCATTCTTTGGCCATCTCATGCAAAGTCAGATATAATTTAAGGCCAAAGATTAGACAATGACATAGCTACATAGGTTTGCTTCAACCCATCGCTCAGTCTTATCTGCAAACTTCATTGAAAACATTATTCAAAAGGAAACCTAATGATTATTCAAGACGATTTATAGTAATGCACTTGAAACAAATAATTGCACTAAGCAGTTCCCCAAGTGCAGTAACAAGCAAATTTCAGAACATGAACAAATGATTAATCCATAAAAACATCTTTAAACAAATAAAGAGGCAAAAGCATTTACAGTCTACAAATTTCAAGCTTCTATTTGATAGTAAGACAGATGTTTCGGTCATAATGACCTTCTACAATAAGCATTGGTGAAGCTTAAAATATTTATGTTCACTAAATTAGCCATGTTGAATGAGTTTCATACCTAGTGCAACATTAAAAAGTGTCAAACTACATTTTTTTTAATGGGGTTGCACAGGTCTGGGTCCACCAGCAGTATGTAGTTTTCAGGAGTTGTTGAGCACTGAGTGTCATCGTCAACAGCCCCTCACCCTTGTCACTGTCGTTGCATTTGCCGCTCGTGGCATGGAGGTCTCGAGCCCCAACGTAGCAATGAGCTTGGCAGCCGAGGGGCAGCCCAATTGTTGATAGCGTGTTCATGGAGCCACTAATTTCCTTTATTTGCAATTATACATTCTCCCAGGAACAAAGTTCTCAGAGACCTGTTCAAACAATTTACAATGACATGTTACTGTTGTGATATGATGCAGTAGCAGCTAGATTTATAAATACACTATGCATCCGTAAATAATGCGCTGAAAAGGACATGCTAAAGAAATCTAGAAAAAATTCCTAAGGAAAAAAAAAAGACTTGCAACAGAGCATCCACAAGGTTTCTTGGCTCTAGTACAAAAAGAAAAGTAGCTTCAGCACATAAAAATAATAGTAAATATTTGAAATTGGAGTATATCAAACACAAAACTTCTATGCACATCAATTATTAAACTTCTTTAGTCAACTGATTCAACAACTTAGTTACTGAATTCAACCTAAGAAATAAAAAGTTAAACCATCTGAAAGATTTATAGGAAAAAATTCACTAAGATTGAATCCAATACATATGACCAATCAAAAATTAAATACAATATCAGAGAGGACAGAGACAAGCTATGGTGAACATTGTTGGTGAATGGGCAAGTGGCTACCTTCTGTCCTACAGTCTCACCGGCAGTCCTTTCTATCCTAGCCAAACACTTCCTCTATTGTGAGTTCTATCGAAGCATGTTAGTGCTCAAACATTTGAAATAATTATCATAGGAAAAATAAATTGGCTCCACGCCTCTACAATCCTCGAAGGATTGCTGCTCTCTCACGAAAAAACTGATAATGTGAACAGGGAATTTTACTTTTCAAAGCAACGCGACCCGGTGGTATGTAATTTCTAAGCGTGTAGGTAAAGTAGACATTAATCTATGTCAACCTATCTAGTATACACTGTCCACCCAACCTCGGCAACATCTGAAAAAAGTTCCCCACATGGGAAGGGATTGCAATATCTACCATCACTGTAGTTTGTAGCTAAGCTACCATCATAGAAGCAATACAACAACACAATATCTCCACACATGTCACTATGTCAGTGGCAAGCCTGTACGAAAAATGGAAGATACAAAATGTGGCTCACCTGCTTCCCTGGGTGGAAACTGGAGAGGGGTCGGACATCAAGCCTGTCATTGACTCCTGCAAGCTGCAGCACTGTATGAGAAAAATTGTAAGTTGATTTGGAATCAGGAATCAAGTTCTCACAAGAAATGCAGTACCATTTGGAGGGTCATGATTGAAACCACCTGACTCCATAGCTAGCAAAAACCTTATGTTTAATGTTATTTTTCCTGTATATCAGTAAGTGTTGTTCAGAGAAAGTCCATGTTTCAAAATTAATCATAAACTTCAATAAACTCAGCATATACAGTGCTCTAGCATAGTGTTCATTTGCATAACTGGAGTGCTTTTATCTATTGTAATTTTTGCGTTAAGTGGGTGCATAACTTGATACAATGAGAGCGGAAGAGTTTTAATTTCACGATTGCGGACAGACCGACCCCAGAAGACAAATCGGATCAAATGATTCAGAGAAGGGGGAGGAGGATTACGCGAGGCGGAGCATGAGCAGGGCAGTCCTTTTGGTTTAATGAATAATACCTAATCCATAACTCCACGCCTAATAATGCAATTGCAAGTTTTGATTGAGCCTGGGCACTTGTTGGCGCAGACGCTCTTGGGCTTGTGCTTGAACAACACAAATTCCTCCTCGTAGTTCACGTCAGCCAGCAGTATCAGGTCCCATGTCAGGGTTGCAGCAGACTACAACGAAATGACTGTGTCAACAATCCAATTGGAACATGAATGCCTTCAACACAGTCAATAAAATCAGAATTGGAGGATAAAGTTTATTTCCTGAACAGCACTATTTTCATACTTGTAAGTGGCAAATTACGGAAGCAGTGCTAGAATCCCAATTTTAACCCAAGGAAACACCATAAAGAAAAAAATGCACTAACTGATTTTTTTCTTATCCTGAACAAGATTACATATAACCTTATCATGTGCCACACAATCTCATTGATAATAACAATATATCAACCGACAACATGGAATGAACTAATATTTGCCCAGCGAGTTGTTCCAGTAATACATCTGCCGATATCCATAGAGACTCTTCACTACAATCAAAGAAATAAATTAAAAAAAAATATGCATCAGTGACCATGGTAGTACAATACCTGATCTGCCAGTGATATTGCAATATCGATTGCTAGCTTATTACTCCTCGCATATATGAAAATTCTTGTCCTCATTCTCTCCTAAAGAGCAATAGCAATAACAAAAGAAAAAAGAACACCCCATGAAAATGTTACAAATGTAGCTGCATTCATGAGTTTGGCCTAGTTAATTTACAACACCCGATTGGTGTACAGATCATGCATATTACATAGTTTGACCAGTATGGAAATTTACACAAGGACTCCTTATATGCCACGAGGTCATATGACATGCATACACAAATGTTGATCTCTCTTTTTTAATGTGTTTGAACCAGATTGACATTAGCAAAGGATACCGACATGATTGAGATTGGTTCTGAAACTTGAACCTACTAAACTCGAATTTTCAACACCAATTTATGACATGAACAAACAATGAATGACCAGCCTATTGACTGAACCAAGCATCCGAGAGATTTCCGCTCAGCAGCAGGGAATTTCATCAAACACCTTACATGCATATCTCAACTGACCAAGAGTGCACAATCGCAGACAGAGAGGGGGCAGGGTACTGACGCACCTATTCCTTGTGCGCGACCAGCACATCCTCATGCGTGGTGGCCCTCGTAGTTGATTGCCTCCATGCACTTCGCTAGCGCCCTCCTCGACTTAAACTGCTGCCACCACCGCGTCTCCGCCCTGCACTCCAGCCTGCGAGGAAGAGTGAGAGAGGAGGAAGAGGGAGGCTGGAGGCATGACAGGAAGAGGGTGGACAGAGGGCTCATCACCTCGATGGTGGTATGGCCGGCCGGCCGCCATACATGCCACAGTGAGCCCCGCCCCCGACCAGGTACTTGCCTACCAGTTTCGGCGCCACAACACCTTCCTACTGCCAGATCGAGCTCCCCATCATGAAAGACACCTTGGCGGGGGCGGGGGCAGGGAAGCCGGATCCAGGGCCGGTGCTCGGCCCCCACCATGGCGCTCCAGCCCCCTCCATGACGGCCTCCGTCCGGCGTTGCGACGCGCAGCCGCGACTCCTCCATGGTGGCGCGGCGGTGCGAGGGCAGGGAGGGAGAGGAGGCGTCGGCTTTCACGACTTCCACGACTTTCCTTCTGACTCGATCGCGGGGAGGCGATCGCACCGCGAGGCAGAGCGACGGAGACTAGGACGCGCGGTATCTCAGTGCGGACGGACGGAGCGACGATTGTCGCATGGTCTTACTTTCTTTTTAGTTTTAGAGATTTAATTAGAACCCAAACTTAAGCTGTGGTTGTTCTTCTTGCAACCTATACCCCGTGACGCCGTGAACCCAGATTTGTTACTATAAAATATATCATTTTTATTACTTTTATAATAATATTTTTATCCATCTTAAGTAAAAAGTATTATTTTTATCCAACAATAACCCGTAACATCATGAAGCATTGACCATATATGTTTCTGATTCTTTTAAAAAATTTAGGTATTTTGTTTTTCTAGTGTATCTGATGAGAATTTGCCTACTAGGCTACTATTAGTAACAGTAGAATGGTCAAGTAAGCTGGGAGTCATGTGACTTTACGGTTTAATCCAATTATTAGTTTATTCTCAGTCTGGAGTTAACCAGACTGTCAGTCTGTGCCAAATTTCGGAAAGCACCGTGATGAACATCTTTGTTAAAGACGGGTGGAGGTTTATTAGCAACAGACTCAGTGCTTGAAACTTTTGTCTTGTACTGGTGTATACAAGAGAGATTTTGTCGCTTTGTAGTTCCTGTTTCATTGGAAGTAGTATTAATCACCAGCTTTGTGCATCCCATGTATAGGTGGATAACCAATCTGCCCAACTTTTTTTCCCCAAGTTCTCTTTGAAATTAACATGATTTTATTTAGGCAAAATTTGCCAAAGGACATCGTTGAAACATGGCTTTTTCCATAGACCATTTAAAAAAACATGTCTTTGCCGAAAGACATTAAATCTCTTACTAGTATGCTACAAGACACTAGGACCATTATTATACTTAGTTTTAACAGACAGCCATGCAAATGACGAATATGCCAAGCGTTTTATCCTCTTTTTGAATGGCTCGTACACTCGCGTCGTACGGAACAGCCGCCGAAGGAGGCAAGGAGCAGGCTGAGCGGGATGAGCGCCAGGTCCTCTAGCAAATTTAGATTTATGATGCTTTTGTAACATCCTAAAATTTACATTCTTTTAAAATTAGTAAATATGATTTATTTAAGCAAATGTGTGTGCATTAAAAGACAGGGAAATAATAAATTTTGTGGAATTAAAATTTAAAAATAAGTTTAGAAACTTTTTGATGCATACATGCTGCTGCATATCATTTTGTGAATGCTTGGAATTTGTTAAAGATTTCAAAAAGAATTGAAAGTTGAATTTAAAAAGGGTTTTGGAAAATAGAAGAAATAGAAAAGGAAAGAATCATTTTTTTCCTCTCCTTTCTTGAAATCGGCCCGCTGGCCCCCTCTCCCCTTTCCCTCTGCCCTAAGCACTGCATGACCCAACTCTCCCCTTTCCCCCGCCAATCATTGCCCACCACAAGGCTTGTTTCGCCCAAAGAAGCCCTTGCCCTGCCCACTCTAAGGCCACTTGTTGTTGCCTGCATGCGTTCTTTGCTGCACGCCATTACTGGTCACTGGCCCCCACCTGCGGGGCGCCGTCGACCTCCTTCCGCAACCACATGCGCATGATCAAGCCAAGAAGCCGCAACCGCCTCGCCGCCCGTCTTGCGCCATCGTGGGAGCGTCGCCGCGCGCTTGCCTCTACAAAGGAAGCCGAGGCCGCCCCCGCGCACTCTCGCTGCTGTTCCCCGCTCCCTCTCGCGTCGCCATGCTCGAGAGAACCACCGCCTCGAGGTCGCCGGGATCCACCGTCCGCCCTCCGCGTGAACCGCCGACTCCGAGCCGCCGTCGACCCTATTTCTCCCCGCTGTGAGCCTCGCCGTTCTCCCCTCTCTCTCCCCATTCAATTTATTTCTCGTTTTGTGGTTTGTATGGCCTTGTCGCATGCGCCGGGAAGCTCCTTGCCGCCGGCCATGTCCGCCACCTTGTCACCAAGGCCTCTCCGGCCACCGTGTCGCCCAGACGTGTTCGCTGCTTCCCTCTCTCTCCGGTGCTCACGGTTCATCTAACCGTGGACCGTGGACCCGAAACTGTGCACACCGGCGAGCTTCACGCCGCCGCCATGGAGAGCCACCATGGAGCTCTTATTGCTCGCCACCTTTTCTTTTCTCTCTCCCGGATCGATTTTCGCCGTTCATTTCAAATCCGACGGCTCACGTTAGAAGATACCCCTTCGCGGGTGATTATTCTAAAGAGCCCCTCGGTTTTCAGGAAATAGAACCCGCAGTCCCTAGCGTACTTCGCTGATTATGCTTTCTCGTTTTGAAAACGTAAAGTACACTGTTCTTGTTCAAAATACGTTTTCAGTATTTACAGAAATGCAATTTGAACTGTTTCGCTTATAAAATTGTCGTTTTAGCTCCGAATTGATCCATTCAAATCGCGTTAGCTTTGTAATTTCATAAGCTACATGTTAGAACTACTGTTAGTCAAGTTTGGAACTTTTTAAATTCATGGTTAGATTTAATTAAATATATTGCTATAGGAAAACCCGTTTAAATCATAACTTTTGCATTTTAGCTCCGTTTTTCGTGAACTTCGCGTTGACGTGATCGTAGCGAGACGTAGATTATGTTTACAAACATTTATCTTGTTTTCAATACTGTTGGTGTACTATTCTAATGATAGGAATGTTTGCTTTGCATGAATGCTTTTGGAATGTTGTATGTTGCCGTGTTGGTCACGTTCAGACGGTGAGGAGAACGTTAGAGACCAAGAATTCTTGACGACCAAAGCAGGACCAAAGACGAGTTTGTGAACCAAGGCAAGTATAGCATGGGACCTTCCTTGATGTCCTATTTCACTTTAATTAATTATTCATTTGCATGTGTCTAATTTTGATACCCGTAAGGACATCCTAGCGATTGATTATCCTGTTACTTGTCTCCTATGGGTTAATTGCATATGGGTAGATTGCTAGTGCTCTAACTGAACATGATCTATTTGATGGTGAATGGTTCTATGGAACTAAAGGTAAAACATGCTTTATAACAACTGATCCATAGGGCGATGGTGCAAATGACTTTTGATCATATTGCTCTCGGCCCTCCATAAGGACTTATCTGTCCGGCAAAAAGTTGGGGTGACGACAAAGGCAACCGTGGGGGTCATATGGCTCGACTTTTAGCTTAGTAATAGGACCTTTTCTAGCTTGTTAGAGGTTACATTTATGGCGCAAAAGGGGCTTGCCACGTTGGGTATAGGACTGCCTCTGTTCCTATGTGTATAGCCATGATGGATATGTGCCATAGGAAAGGGGGGTTCCTACATCTCTCGCCAAGGAAACCTATGCCCTAACTTGTTAGAGAAACCTATGAAATGGCTTCATAGTGTACCCTGCCCGCTCACCTTGGCAGTGATATGGGAGTAATTAAACCAGGCATATGGGAATCACGACTCACGGTGAATGTGCACCACCTCTGCAGAGGGTAACAAACTGTTATAACAGCCGTGCTCACGGTCACGAGCGGCCCGAAAAACTCATAGAATAGATGGCTACTTATAATGTTGTTTATACGAGATGATTATGATGATATCACATGACTCAATTGGATCGGATATATGATCACGTGGGTTTAAATGGGAGCTTAAGCATAACTTGATAATAGTTGAGGATAAAATCTTGACTTACTAAAAGTGCTAACTGCAGTAAACCAGTGTCAACCTTTTTGAGCTTCATAACCCCATGTTATCTTGTTGAGTACGGGACGTACTTACGATTGTTTACTTTCTATATTTGAATAAAAATCCCGGATGGGTAACAGATGACAACGGATATGAGGAGTTTCCTGAGGATTATTAGGCTTGTGGTCAACCAGTCGACCGTCCCTGTGATGGAGTTCCATGAGAGAGTTATCTTTTTATCTTCCGCTGTGTTATGTAAGACAATGTGATGCTATTATTCGTTATGTAAGTTACACCGTGATGATACTTTTTATAATTTGTCAACTTATGTGTGTGACGGATCCCTGGGCACACATGAGTTTAGTGCATTCAATTTTATCCTTAAAATTGGGTGTGACAAATTGATATCAGAGCAGTGTTGACTGTAGGATGCAAGCCTAGTAGAAACTGGTCGTTTTTAGGTTTAGATGTTGCTGCAAAAACCCTTGCTCTATGAACCTTGATATTTTCTTCTCTACTATATCTCTAACTTTGCTATTCGTCTCTACCTTGGTGCTTATTTTAAAGACTTTGTTCTCATCTTCACTTCTTGGTTTGTTATGCTTTTAGAACTATCCCTCATCACCTTCTTGCGTGATCTGAAGAAGAGTCTTAGGATTGTTACCCCTAGTATAATAAGGGCGTTAGTATCGCAAGTTGAGTCAATGATTGAGTTGTGCATCTTTATTGATTGTTGAATTGTCATTTTGCTTATGATTGTTTTGAATCTTTGTAATGATTGCAATGATTGGAAAACCAAAAATCATGAGAAAATTCTGGACAATAGTACACTTTAATATCTTTCTCTGAGCGCAAGAATCAGCTTTATATCTATTTTGGTTATGGAGATACGAAAATCACAAGGAGATGCATTTGTGCTGTTTGGAACCTGAAACAGTTTCTGTTGTGTACCATTTTCGACCAAGAAAACTGAGGAATTTGGAAAAGTGTTCTATAAGAAAGTTGTGGAGAATTTTATGAGCTTTCGAACAGTATAAGCTACTACTTCATTGGATTAACAGAATGTGAGTTACAACCATTTTACGACGCTGCTGTTTTTTCTGCTCGCGATGAATTCTAGATTTCTTGTTGTTGCCTATATACAAGAGTATCAATGGGATGACAGAACGTCTTGATATTAGTTAGCTCATTTAAAAGGAGATGCAAGCTATACTTTGGTGTTCCCTGGTTTATCTTTTCTTAAGGGGGTAGCCAAGTTGAAGAATCTCTAAGATGAAGTAGCGTACGTTCTAGT